AGCTTTTTTTTTAAAGGCGGGGTTATATAAATAACCGAATTCATTCAAATTTGGAAAACTTTGTGATGGAATGGGAGATGGCCGGCGGCGATCGAGGCGTTGAGGCGGCAATGGGAGTCGACGATCGAGGCGTTGAGGTGGACACAGCCGCGGCGATCGAGTCGTTGAGACGGCGATGGCATTCAACGATCGAGGAAAGGCTCCGATTCCACCAGAGTGGCGAAATAGTGATTGGATCGACGATATTCTGAGTTCAGATCGAGTGATGAGTAATCTCGTTGAGGATTCCAGCTTGATGAAAGCGGAATGTAGTGGTAGTAAATCTATCGAACAATCTTACTGTGCCAGCAAATCAATGCAAGGTCACAGATCTGTTATAAATCAGCTGCAATCAGGTTTGTGTAGGTTTTGGAGTGTACTGTTTGTGAGAGAATAATCAATCTAGTTTTCTCACAGTTCTGTTTTTGTTAATGTTGTATGAATTGGATAAGCAGTTATGCTGTGTTGGACATCCAACATGTTTGTACTGGATATCCAATTTGTTTGTACTAGGTATGCAGCTTATGTGTATTGGTTATCCAACGGATTTACATGCGTATCCAAATTTTATTTGCTGGATATCCAACTGATTTGTACTGTATATCCAACATTTTTAAGTTGTTTATTTTGAATTGGTGTTTTTTCACAGTTCGGAGTGTACTGTTTGTGAGAGAATAATCAATCTAGTTTTTTCACAGTTCTGTTTTTGTTAATGTTGTATGAAGTGGATAAGCAGTTATGCTGTGTTGGATATCCAACATGCTTGTACTGGATATCCAACTTCTTTGTACTGGATATCCAGCTTATGTGTACTGGTTATCCAACGGATTTACTTGCGTATCCAAATTTTATTTGCTGGATATCCAACTGATTTGTACTGGATATCTAACATTTTTGAGTTATTTATATTGATTTGGTGTATTAAAGATTTTTTTAAAAACTTTTTTGGTTTTTTGTTTGTCTCATTTTTGTAAAAGATAACCATATCAATGAGTTGGGGGATGATGTGATGCTGGATGATGCTCTGTGCATGGAAGTTACATCTGCTCTGAAGGGTAGGTTTTCTAACTTGTTTATATGTGTTTAAATTTGTTTTTGAATTATTTATCCATTGTGTTAATACTGATTATCCGACTGTATGGTAATAGTTATCCAACCATCTCTTTTTTTTTTCTCAGAATGTGGAGAAGGTAATAGCGGCAATGAATTGGGAGTTGATAATGTGATGGTGGAGGAGGATGCCTTGCACAAGGAAATTTCATCTGTGACGAAGAATAATGATTTGGCTGTGTTTACTTTAGTTGGCAAGACTGCAAGAAGTGAGAAAGAAGTTTATGAATTTGTATAATGATCATGCCCGATTGGTTGGTTTTAGTGTGAGAGTGGGAAAACAGAAGTTTAGAGGTAACACTGATAAAGTTAGGATGAAGAAGTTCTGTTGTAACCGCGAAGGATACAAGAGATCCGGTGGAAATGGTGATGTGTGCCATGAGAGGATTAATTTTTGGTTTGGGTGTCCAGCTTATATCCATTTTACTGTTGACAAAGATGGCTTGTGGACCTATACAAACCATCTGGTTGATCACAATCATGATCTTGTGCCGAATAAAATGATTGGACTTCTTCGATCTCAACGTGAAGTAGACAAAAATGATATGAAGATAATCAGAGACATGACAAGGAGTGACATCCCTTTGGTTGATGCATATAAGTTTGTGGCAAAATTATACGGGGGAAGTCCGAACATGAAGTATACTTTGAGAGATGCCTACAATTATGAGCGTCTTGGTGTTGGATTTGAAGGTGGCGATTGTAATCAGCTGATGAAGATTTTTTGGGACAGGAAGGAAATTGAACAAGATTTCTTCTTTGATTTTGACTGTGATGAGCAGGGTAGGCTGTGTACTTTCTTCTGGAGGGATGGCAGAATGAGAGAGGATTATGATTTATTTGGTGACTTGCTTGTGTTTGATACAACGTATCGAACAAACAGATATGGAATGATTTGTGCTCCGTTTGTGGGTATGGATAATCATAACAAGAAAGAACCTTCTTTTGATTGTGGTTTTGTGTTAAACAAGAAAGAACCTTCTTTTGATTGGTTGTTCAAGCAGTTTTTGAAATCAATGGGAAATAAGCAGCCACAAACCATAATGACAGATCAAGCACCTTCCATTGCTGCAAGTATTTGGACATGTTTTCCAAGTTCTCGGCATCGTCTCTGTGTATGGCACATAGGTGAAAATTCAAGAAAGCGAATTGGTCATTTAAGGAACAAGCTAGATTTTGTTAAGAACTTTAATTATCTGATGAAAAACACTTCAACAAAAATCGAGTTCGAGGTATTATGGAGGAGGTCAGTTTGTCAATATTTTTATTATTATTTATCATTGCCATGATTAAGAGTGTCTCTTTTTTTTTTTGTTGTGTGGGTATGTGTTAGTGGTCATGCATGATCTTCCTGATGATTACTTATAGGTAGGTAAGTTATACAACAATGATGGATAACCAGCAAATAATGTATGGACAAGCAGCCGCATAGAAGCACAACTAAAAAAAGGCATGGATAACTAGTTTACACATTGTGGATAACCAGCAATTATGGCTGGATAACTAGTTTACAGATTGTGGATAACCAGCAATTATGGCTGGATAACTAGTTTACAGATTGTGGATAACCACCCGTTATGGCTGGATAACTAGTTTACACATTGTGGATAACCAGCAATTATCTCTGGATAACTAGTTTACACATTCTGGATAACCACCCGTTACGGCTAGATAACTAGTAGAAAGCCTTTGTATAAGCATTAGGAAATTATTGCAGGGGTTTAAAGGGGTTACTGATGGATAGACAGTACCATGTTTTGATAATCAGTAAATGATTACTGGATAACCAGTAGAAAGCCTAAGGATATACATGTTTCTTTGTGGATCTATATGGATAATCTAACTATTTTTCTTTTTATGCATGTGTTTCATATTGTTGTGCACAGATTATTGGATGAGTATGATTGTCATGATGACAAATGGCTCAGTGGTATTTATGATGTGAGGCATATGTTGTGCCCTGCATTTAGCAAAGATGTTTTTTTCTGGTGGTACCTTGTTTTCACAGAGAAACGAGTCAACAAATAATGCAATTTGTTGTAAAATGAAGGCCACATCATCGCTTTGTGATTTCTATGGAATTTTCTCTAATGTTGTACACTGTTGGCGGGTAGCTGTGAGGGGTGAAGATCTACGCTGTAGCCAGGGAAACATCGATTCATATCTTCCTGGTGACCCATTCCTGGAGAGCATTCGCAGAGTGTACACAATTGAAGCATTTCGGGAGGTTCAGCAGTTGCACAAAGATGGGATGTTGTGCAGGCAGGAGCAATTAGAGGTCTCAAATGATGACAATATTGTAACGTACAATGTTTGGCGGTTTGGGATAGAGCACTTTAAGCATGTGGTTGTACATGACACTAGGTTACAGAGATTCTCATGCACGTGTAGGTACTACTCTGAGGCGGGCATACTTTGTTGTCATATTCTTCGAATCTGTCATGTAACCTCTGTTGATGAGTTTTCTAAAGATTATATATGTATGAGATGGACAAAAGGTTATGGTGCCAGGTCAACCATAGCTAATGAGGGAGATGGAAAAGCTGCTGGGCCATTGCTGTGAAAGGCGCTAATTATGAGACGATTTTCAGACTTGGTATATGCAAGTGAATATAACAAAGATGCAAAGAAATGTTGTGATGAGGCGGTTGACAGGCTTAAAAAAGAACTCGGCAGTTTCATTGGTTCGAATAATAATGATGAGTCTGTAGACAATGATGATGTTATAAAGAATCCGGCTAAAAAGAGGAAGAAGTTTGGTCCCAGGAACGAACGCCCTAAAAGCATTGTTGAGAAGGCATGTAACAAAATCAGAGGCAGGAAAACAAATGCAAGACTTGCTGCTGACTGAACAAGAGATTCAGTTGCATCAGACCTGCATTATCAGAGCATACTATTTCCTTATCCAAAGGGAGCTGCTCAAGATTTTTCAGGCTCAGGAAGTTTTGCTGCTGTGAATGCTTCCCATCAAAGCATGCCATCTTTGAACGTAAATTCTGGTGGATTCTCATTAACTAATCCAAGTGTAGCTGCCCAGAATTTTTCAGGGGCAGCGGCTTCCATTTCTGTGAATGCTTCTAATCAAAACATGACATTCATCAACCAAAATTCCGGTGGATTCTCATTTCCAATTCCCAGGGGAGCTGGCCAGGAGTTTCAAGGCGCAAGCACTTCCGCTGCTGTAAATGCTTCTCATCAAAACATGACATTCATGAATCAAAAATTTGGTGGGTTCTCATTTCCTAACCGAAGGGAAGCTGCCAGGGAGGCTGGAGCGTAACGTTTCTTCAACGAGATGTTTTATTAGTATTTTTACTTGATGTTGGAATGAACAGTATTGATGGTGTAAAGATTTTTATTTAAAAAGTATTATTTATGTTAAATTGCAGTATTATCCCACCAGTTTGAACTGGTTATCCATTTTGTTTGTACTGGTTATCCAAGTGGTTATTTTAAATTGGTTATCCGTTGTGTTCATAGTGATTATCCAACCAGTTTGAACTAGTTATCTAAGTTGTTTGTACTGGATATCCACCCATTTGGTTTGTATGCCTATCGAACTTTTTTGTTCTGGATATCCATTTCGTTTGTACTGGATATCCAACTCGTCTATACTGGATATCCAACTCGCCTGTACCGGATATGCAACTTTAAATGCATATAGATATTACAAAAAAGACATGAACACATTGAACACACTTTCTTCACAAATAATATCATTGGATAACCAGCATAGATAATCTGGATAATTAGTAAAATGTCCTGGGATAACCAGTATAAGATCAATGGACAATTATTTTCAGTAATAAGTTAACAAGGGAAAGATAAATTTTTTTAAAGAAAAAAAAATCCTAAAAGTGTGTTAATGTCTCCCAGAAGTAACATGTTGTAGTGATAAAACTGGTTTCTAGATCAGGCGATGTACTTGAGTGTGTGATTTTCCTGGTAGGAACACTATGCAACAGCAAATGTCGATTATCGTATCCTTTGACAATGAATTGTCCCGCTGGAGATGATTTGTGGCTTAGAAACACTGGATAAAGCCAATCATGACGGAACTGTAATCCGTGTGGAACGTGTGTGTTCACATTTGGGAATTCATGGGTCTCGAACATGCAATCCCTTGTGGAAGTATCTGGATCCCATGCCCACATGTGACAATGATGATTCTGAGTAATGTGATACTCATCTATTACACACAAAGTCCCCTGGAAGTCTAATATTTTCACTTGGAGATTCATATGATAAGGATCAGTGGGGTTAAAGAAGATTGGAGATGGAGGGCAGTTTATGGTATGGAATTGTTGAGTGTGGTAGTCAAACACGACCAGCAACTCTTGAGATGTTGCTATTTCAGAGGATAGTTTGTCTACACGCCAGTACACGAATCTATCAAACCAGGTTCCATCAGATACAAGGTGAGGACATATATTGCAAAGTGTTTTCCATTCCCCTCTATGAATACTTGAACAACTTTGAAAAGAAAAAATGCAGCCTTGCATGGTTTTTCCATCGGCAATAAGGGCCATGAAAACGTAAGTTTTTGAGGATGATACGTACCCAAATGTTGTTTCACAATTGCTGAGAGGGACATCATATAGCCATTCAATTGATGCAAGTTGTGTTGTCTTTGGGTTCAAGGATTTGATTTGAGACCTGGTTTGCAGACAGACCAAATCTGTGGTGACAGGCATGATTTTATGGATGTCGTCGTCACCCATCGACATCTCTTCTTGCAATCGTATGTGGTTGCATGGGTTATCCATTTGTACTTTTATGTTGGTGGCGATTAGTTTGTCTTGCAACAGGTGACCTTCTTGGCTTGTTTGAGTGAAAACAAGGATGTTGTTTTCAGTTGCAGGGTAGCTCATCTCACGTTTTTTAAGAACAAATTCTTGTCTTTTCGGCATTTGCTCCCAAGCTTTGCTGACACGGCGGAACTCACCAATCTTTTCCTATGTCAGATTAATGAACATATTATCAAGCATATCGTGATGGATATATTCAGGGTAGTTGTTCTTTTTTTGTTTTGCTTGCCTGGGGGACATTTGTTTGGTTGTGGAATTTGAGGAAATTTTTTTGTTTTTTATTTTTTTCTTGCTGTTGGATGTTTTGGTTGCTCAAATCAGACTTTTTGGTGTATGTGCAGATGAGGGAGTTTTAAAGAAATGCTGTATGTGGAGATGTCAGAGAGTTTTATAGAAATGCTGTATGTGGAGATGAGGGAGTTTTTACAGAGGTTGTTTGACGGATTAACTACCCATGCAATCCTATCTTTTTTCACAAATCAGTGTTTTCTCACTCTCTATTCATTAACTGTCATTGTGATAATCAAGAAACTCATTTAATGACAGTTATGTAACTGATCCTTATTCAATCCATTCCATGTAAAAACATGTGGCTCTGTAACTACCCATTAGATCATGATGTACTCTACACAAACATGAGCCTTTTAAGTTTTATTTTTTTATTTTTACTCCCTCAATCTTTTAAGTTCTATTTAATTACAAAACGTGTGGCTTTTCAGTTATACACAGTAACATGCTCCACACTGTGGATAACCAGTGTTCCCATTATGGATAACCAGTTAAACACAGATGGATAACCAATGTTGACACTATGGACAAGTATTTTTCATAAAGAATAAAAACAAAGTAAAAATTCAATAAGCATTACAAACCATTTGGATAATCAGTACTAACACATTGGGCAAGTTCTGATAACCATTTTGGATAACCAGTGCAAACCAGTTTGAATGTCATTAAAAAATGACTGGATAACCATTATTAACCTGTTGGATAATCAATATTGATAATGTGGATAACCAGTGTGCACACTATGAATAACCAGTTACACACAGCTGGATAACCAGTGTTGACACTATGGACAAGCATTTTTCATAAAGAATAAAAAAACAAAGTAAAATTCAATAAGCATTACAAACCGTTTGGATAATCAGTACTAACACATTGGGCAACCATTATTAACCTATTTGATAATCAGTGTTGACAACGTGGACTATCATTTTTTTCCTTTTATATTTTTCTTGAATATCCTTATCCGTATTTTTTACACTGGTTATCCAGCTGCCCCTCATTAATTTTTTGTTCTCCATCATTTGGCAAACTGCCCCTATTTAATTAAATACTATTTATGAAATTTTCCATGTTCGGCATGGGGGCGGCACAACCGCGAAAGGCGGCACAACCGGGTCATTTAGTTTATCACGGGGGGATTTATACAAGTAATTTGTGTCCCCTCTTAACGCAATAACACACTCTCCTTACACACACACGAAAAAAGAATTACCTTAGCTACATTGGCGTGTTCGGCGGGGCGGCGCAGCCGAGGCAGGTTGGTGACCTGTGATTTCGGTAGTCGCGGGAGTCATTTAGTTTATCACCCAATGAACATGCCGTTTGGATAGCCATTTTCTTATGGATATTTTCTTTTGTTATGTCTTTTTGAAAGCCCTGTCTGAATCCTTGTTTTGTTATGTCCACATGGTGGATAGGCATTGGTTACATATGGATAAGCAGTATTGAGGTTTTGGATAACAAGTATAAACTCATGGATAATCAGGTTAAAGACTGTACTTGCATTTTTTTTACTGGATAATTACTATAAAACATTCGAATAATCAGGTGTAACAAGTTGGATAACTAGTACAAAGATCCTGGATAACCATTACAAACGGTTGGATATTACTGCGCATTGGCTGGATAACCAGTACAAAAGTCCTGGATAATCAATACAGAGCATTGGATAATCAGTAAAGAAATATTGGATAAGCAGTATAACATCATAGGATAGGCAGTTTAATAAAGAAGTAGAAAGACCAACAAATTGGGACACTCAGTTTTTGTTATTTGGGAATTTACAAAAATATTTGGACAACCAAAATACATAGTCTTGTTGTTTTCTTATGGATATTTTCTTTTGTTATGTCTTTTTGGAGAACCAGTTTACTACTTGTGGATAACCAGTTTACAACTTGTGGATAACCAGTATAGAAATTCTGGATAACCAATATGCTATGTGGATAACGAGTATGAAATAGGTAGATAACCAGCAATTATGGCATGGACAACCATCACATAGCATACGCAGGAAACTATGGATAACTAGTTCAGATCTAGTGGATAAACACAAAATATTGCTGCATAATCAAAAAAATAGGATCCCGGAGTAATATACTTACCAGTGAAGCATGTATAGATGAAAGAGAGCTTGAGATGGTCGGAGGTAGGGTTTCTCGCCATCGTTTGTGTGTGTGTGTGTGTTTGTGAAAGAACAGACTGACAAAATGAAAAAACGCAGAGAGAAGATGAAGTTATCAAAATCTTCTTCCAACAGAGGTTTTCCGTCGACTTTCTGTAATTTTGTGGTGATGGTCAATTTTGTATTTGCCTTAAAATAGAGAGTTTCCGACGACTGTGTGTTTGTGTGTGTTTGTGCATGGGGATGAAATGGATAAAAATAATTTTTTGTGTGCATTTAATGTAAAGGTAAAAGCAGTTAGGCGCGTGATGCGCGTGTGTTTGGTGGGGGAGGGGTATACGGTGCACCCAGGTGCACTGGATACGATCTCCTTTGCCTCAAAAAAAATTCAGATTCCTTAATATGAGCATTGTAGGAGCTCAAAAAAAAAAAAAAAAAAAGGTAAACTACCATTACATGTACTGCAGTAACTGCCAGTAAAGAACATCCGAATCAAACCAAAGGAAACGTGAATTATATTTCAAAATAAATGCAGCACTTTATGTTACTGAAGGCAAAAAATAAAATAAAATAAAATAAACAAGCCACATCTTAAGGTGCAAAATCCCACGCACCACATCACCAGAAGTACTTTATTACAAAATATTTGCTCTCAAAAATAAACTGAATCAAGTTCTGTATAAGAACTAACAAATCTTGGTATTAAAAATTGAATAAAAAGTTCTAAAGGCATTCCAAGTTGAAAGCGGTACTCTCCCTTATGATATAACAATGTCCACTATGTAAGGAGGTTCTTTGCCAATATCTCTTCGAATTAATATCTACCTGCAATAATTGATTTTATAACCAACTTAGAACAAAAATTATATAAAAGAGACCAAATGAATGAAAAAGAACAAACTAAATGAACAAATTAAGGTTCGTCCAAGAGCAATCAGCAAAAAACCAATATAAAAAATCAGCTCTCAATTTATTAATTCCCTTCTATATATCCTATCCTTCATCTATTTATCTATCCCCGCTTCCCTCTCAATTCAGCTTTCTACTCCTTATTTCTACCGCCTGATTCTTTATTTTTAAACAAAAATCTTTATTTGGTCTAGTCTTTTTCTTTTTCCGGCATAATTAAAACTAAGAATCAACAACAAACTCATCGGAACAGTTATTATTTAAAAATAAATTAAGTATATCTAGGGAGGAGATGAGGACTTTTGAACTAAAACTCTGGGAAATGGAACAGATAAGAGAGAAGCCTTAAAAGTAAATCCGGGTGGAAGGATTGAGGTTCCTGGAAGAATCTAACGCTCCAAAATGAGGAAGAATCTTTAGATGGTAGGAAAGTTTAGGTCGATCGATGCACGCATTCTTCAAGTTTGCTTGCATATTTTAAGTTGCTTTTTGCCTGCAAACGACATGAATTTTTAGCCTTGATGAAGCTTTGTTTAGGGTGGATCAAAAACTTATTCCTATCAGGATCCAGCTAGTGCTTGAACTACCCTAGCCTCCTAGGTCAGATGGTCGATTGAGTTGTCTTTTTGCGGCGCAAAATCAGGCTTCAAGCCTTCAACGACAATGGTTTTGGGGTTTCTGGAATTGGCTGTCCAGGAGACGTTAATATCAGCCTGGTAGAATCGGTTAATAAGCAGGCACATATATACAATTGGAATTTTGCGAAGAAACGTACTTTTGTCCTGCTGATTACGAATGTGAACTGGAAGCTTACTAATAAAGTTAACACTTGTCAACTAACTTGGTTTTGTAACATATATGATTCAAACATCCGCAAATAATAAGGAATATTTCCCTTTTGATAATTTATTACATGCTTATATAATAATATGAACCGAGATTATATCCCCAACCAATTTAATTACTTCTTCTGTTGACCAAGTTTCTTTATTCATACAACATAAATAAGCAATTGCACGTCCCTCGAAACCCTAAATCAAAAACAGCGGCACAAACTGAGCAGAGAACCGGAAAGAAACTCCTTCAATTTCTCCATGTTGCAGTTTCTCGGTTACCGCAAGATGTATGTGTTCTTGTTCATCTTCTTTGTTGCCTTTCTTACGGCCACAAGATGCGTTGCTACTAACGATCTTGAGTTTCATGCAACAACGGACTTCGCATATTTTTCGAACATGCCGAGGTGGAACCGAACGTCTCCAATAAAACTAAACTATACTTTCCTACCGGACCACATGATTCGGAGTTTGAGTCTAGCGGATATTAGGCATGTATTTCAACGGGCGTTTGGGCGTTGGACCGCGGTGATTCCAATGACATTTGTAGAGACAACTGATGCGAATCATGTGGATATCAAGATTGGATTCTATTTTGGAGATCATGGTGACAGAGATCCTTTCGACGGGCCGTTGGGACAGGCAGCCCACTCTTACCCGCCAGAATCTGGGATACTCCATCTCGACGGAGCTGAACTGTGGGCCGTTGATCAAAATACACTGAAACTGGAAGGGGCTATTGATTTAGAATCCATAGCGGTCCATGAGATTGGGCACGTGCTAGGGTTGAGACATTCTACCGTCAAGAATGCAGTTATGTACCCATATATGGCAGCTCAGGAGCGAAAAGTTGATCTTTCAAAGGATGACGTGGATGTGATACAACAATTATACGGAGCAAACCCTAATTTCAAACCTGGTCCTAATTGGGAGAGTTTGAGTTGGAGTACGTTCAAGGAGACGAGAAAAAGTCTTGGTTCGAGCATCCTGTTGGGAGTGATGGTTTTCTTTTCTTTTTGATTAGTTTGAGATTATAATAGAATTTGTTTTCTCAATAGGATATTCTACTCGTGAATTTTTGTTTTCTTTCTTTTTATGCTGTGATCCTTATTGTGTAGTTCCTCTTGATTTTTTATATATTTTGACTAGGTGTTAGACTCGTCTAATGGACAAGGAGGACATACGTGTATAGAAAATACAATACAAGAGTAAAAAATAGTAATATTTTTTATGGATTTTGTATTTTTATAAAATGTATGATGATTTCATTGGAAAATATAAAAAACAAACACCAACAACTCTTTACCAAATGAATATAATGATAATTTATTTAACGCAAAAAGTATTGTAAAAAATTCAAAAAAATAAATAAAAAAAAAAGAGAAAAAGAATGAACTTCGAATTGAATGAATATATATCATGCACTACTTCTTTGTAGATTACATTCGTAGTCTTGGAGTTGACATCATCCATCTCATATCATGACTTTTATTCCTTGTTTCGAAGTGACTCTTGTTTTTAGTGCTTTTATTTTATTCGTTTCGATGAATTCTCATCTTATTTCATTTTTTATTTTTTATCCTATTTGTTTGTTTGATTTAGTTATTTCTCATTATCTATCTAATAATTTATGTTTACTTTAACGTACCATTGTCGGAAATATTTTACTTAAAATGCGAGGGTGGGATTATCTATTTAACCCTTAAAGAATATCGTTCAACTCTTTTTTTCTCCATTAATATTTTTTGGACATTTTCGCTAATGTTAAAGCCATCCTGCTCATTTTTTTCAAGTTAAAGTTTGATTTTTTTAAATAGAAATTTCAACGTTTGGTCATATAGTTGTTTTACCAATATTTTTATTTTCTTAGTTGTTTAGCAATCATTATTTAATTATTATTGTCATAATCTTATATCAATTTTCTCACATTTATTTTAACTTATAAGAGAAATGATTTTTTATTATCCAAACCAACCCGCTCATTACCATAAGGTTGGAGTTTCATACTCATCATTATAAGAATTAAATGAGTCCTACTACATTTTGCACATTTTATTGAAATAATAATTCTTTAATTTGAAAAAATGAATTATATCCGTTGAAATTTTTTATAATAACATGAAGGTTCATAGACAATTGGAACTTTTGATAAATATTGAGGGTGACCCAACATCCCACTTCTATAAATGAGAATTTTAAATTCCTACACTTGATGAAGTAAAATCTAACATTTCACTCTTTCAACATTTTATTTCAAATTATTTATTGCTAGTTCTATGCACAATTGGTTAGAGAGTACTCCCTCTGTCCCATAATTATTGTCCAATTTGAAATTTCACTTTTAGTACAATTTGAACTAAAACTGAAAACTCAAACTGGACAATAATTATGGGACGGAGGGAATAAATTGTATAAAAATTACAATTATAATGATTTTTAAGAAAAGTAAGTTTTGCTCCCTTATTTGCGTCTCCAGACACATGAAAAAGTTATACTGTTCAAATCCTTTGTGAGATTTCTTGGATTCTATCCTCTAATCCATAGTGAGTATTCAATTGTTCTTCTCCTATTTTCACCAAATTCACCGCAATCCTGTCAACCTGAGTGATTACTTTTCTTTCTCTCAGATTTCATGCCGTTAAAACACTTCATTCAACCCCATAGTTTCGCACCATTAATTGATGTGCTCTCTACATTCATAGTTCCTTTACATGTGATTAAATCATGTTATGGAAATACATGTAATTAAATCACATATAATTCAATTAAAAGAAATTCATGGAATATAAGTGATTCTAATTTGAAGCCGAAACTATTTTTAATTGTCTTTGAAGAATTAAATATCCCCCTTTCTGTATATATTTATAAATAAGTATTAAATTTAAGTGACTTTTTAAAATTTCAGTGCCGAATTTTGAATTATCAACTATTCATCCCTCTAAGAGATCAATAGGCACATGAGAAGATTTCTTTCATGCACTCAAATCCACAAAATGGATATTCTAACTTCTAATTGTGCATAATTCAAGTGATTGTATGGCTTCATCATCTCTTAACAGTATCGCATGTTTTCCACGAACAAAGGGTTGCAACATGTTATATTGAAATTTTTATTTGGAAAAAAATTATACTTCATCATTCGTTGGATATACCTACAATCTTTTTTTTCCGAATTCTTTTTCAAACTGGAAAGATGTCTTACGACTCCATTATCCCGTGATCAAGAATCATCAATCATGACTCAAACAAAAAGTTGAAACATTACGACTTAAATTATGATAATAAAATTATTATACGAACTTGCAAAATATACAAGAGATGGAAAACTATAATCAAACCTTGAAATGTACTTAGACTCAATAGGAGAACCTGGCATCACAAGCTAAAAAACTCTCGGTTTCTCAACCTACAACCCTGCACTTTAAATTATTTTATTTTTCTAAATAAAATAAAAATAAATGAATTTGCTCCACATAAATAATGTTACCCAACGAAGATCCATGAAGTGGAATGAGATGAGAAGTGAATCTATTACATACGAATAACTACTCATTGAGAGATTTCAGTGGATCAAGAGATTTTATAGAATCAGAATATTATCCAAATTCCAATTGTGATATTATGTTAATGAAATGATTTGTTTGCTCTTAAAATGGCTATCAAATTTTGTTTACAGTTAAAAGTCAAATTTTTAATCATTTATTTCATTTATTTTAAGTGTTCATGTACATTGATATACATTATTATCTCTCCCTATATTGTTTCAAGTTGTTGTATTAGACTAGAAGTCTGACTAATAGTTAATAATTCATTAGTATAGAAGATAAAATGATAATTTATTTTTTGTTATTTTTAAAGTCCGAAAAATCGTAAATTTGCCACATAGGAATTTTAATTTTTTTTTCAAAAAATTGGATGGCCCAGTGAGAATCGTAGCCTCAACCTCCTGGTAACAACCATCCTCCATCCTAATCCCCTAACCACCCCAGCCAACCCTCCTACCCTCATTTGTTACATAGGATTTAGTCCATGCGGCATGATATTATATCTTAGGTTTTCTTTCTCTGGAGTTTGTCTTAAGTTTTCTCTAATTTAAAATTTTATGGTGAAAATATCTTTTTTTTCCCCCCTTAATACTATCATTCAAGATTTTTGTATTTAGTCTTTTTTTTTTTTATCATATCTATTGATACTAAATTATTTTATAAAAGTTACAGTAATTCTCAACTCATTATCATGTACTTGTTTTATAAATATTATCTTGCTTTTTTGAAATTCAATCGGTTTATTTTAAAATTGTTTTTGCCAGGTAACTATAGTGTTGTATATGTTATATAGTAGTATTATGATACACAAAGCAGCTATCCTTATCTAAGGAGTGTTCTGATGAATAAGCTTTTCTTAATACCACCTTTTATATACACACACATATATATATATATATATAGGGAGCGGTTAGAGTCCCGTTACGGGACGGTTCCGTATTAGGATAATAACCATAGAATTAATTAGGTTAATTAACAACCGTAAGATTAAAATGGGGGTGTATCATAAGGACATAGACTTAAATACACTAGATTATAAAAAAAAAAAAAAAAACCCTCGAATTAGTTTAACCCGTTTATCCCTTTCTTTTGGGCTAAATCTAATCCATGATTTTAACTTTTTTTCTTTTTACTTTGGGTCTTAGGTCTCACAAATTACGGGGCAAAAAACTGTGCAAATGACAACAAAACAACAATATTTTTGACGGTTTGTTTTTTTCATAAAACAAAAAATGTTAGTTTGACATAATCGAATACACATCTATGCAAATGTTTGAACCACTTTAGTATTTTTACATTAATTATATGCATATAAAAAAATAAAATAAAATTTAAAAATATTTCATAATTTTCATATCATGTTTTTGTAATTAATAAACTCCCACTTTGGTATATAATAATTTTTTATATTATGTATTCGTATTATTCAATTCTTATTTATTTGTACATACAAATTCGTTGAGATAAGTAATTAACATATATGTAAACTTTTAAAATCACTTTATATTTTATAAAAATAAAAGATAATAAATTTGATATACTTTAATTTAATGTAAATATAGTGAATCGGCCTGATTCGATGGTGATGGTTTTAATTGTATCTATGTACACATCCTTGGATAGCAGGTTATAGTAATTTTTTTTCAATTTTTGTAAATGAAAATTAATTTGGGATATGTTAGTATGTTACTCACTCCATGAATACATATTATACCTCAATCCTGATTGGTTGAAGAAAAAATGGGACGTTTTCATAAAAATGGTCAACGGGACTCTAGATTTTCCCATATATATATATATATATATATATATATATATATATGTATGTATATCAAGTTGCATATTCTATTATCACGTTTATCAAGTTGAAATCTACCTTTAACCATAAGTCGAGGGTTCGAATCTCGCCATGGTATGGAGCAACCTTAAATACTTTGGCCATGTCGTGCCACCCATTGAGGTGCCTATAATTCAATGAGGGGGATTAATCACTGTTGCCGATGCTGGACACCCTGCAAATATGCAAAAAAAAAAAAAAAAATATTATTTTTATATACTATTTTCAAATTTTATTTATGGACCAAATAACGCGATTTTTCTTTTTCCATTTAAATTTAGGATTCACTCTTTTTTTTTCTTTTTTCTTTCCTTTTAGTCTCTTGATACAGCATATATTTTATTGATCCAACGCATTTATGTTTTTCTTAAAAAAATAGAAAAAGCATTGAAATTTCTTTATCAAATTTCTTGTAAGAAAATTTATTTGCCAAATATTTTAATGTCGTTCCACCCACCCTATTACAAAAATGATTAAAAAATAAAAAATTAATGTAATACAAAATCATGGCTAATAAGTTTACTCTAAATCACTTTTGTTACATGGTCTTTAAACACCAAACTTTTACAATAAACTCAAATAGCACAAATTGACATCATTCTGCAATTTGGTTGGGCATTCAAATGGTTGGAATATGA